GACTTGTGGACTTCAACTCCCAGAATTCCTCAGCCAGCTTTGCTGGCGGAGGAATTCTGGGAGTTGAAGTCCACAAGTCTTAAAGTTGCCAAGGTTGGACACCCCTGCTGTAAACTATTCAGAGAGGGCTGTAAAATAGTGTGAAGCGGTATATAACTCTAAGAGCTAGTGCTATTGTTATTGTTACAGCCACCTTCCAGCAGAAGGGGACAATGGACTTTGCAGGAGTAGACCACTGTAGTCTTTTCAAGCTTCCCAGTGGAAAACATCAGGCCATTCTAGATGCAGACAAAGGAGTTACCCTTTGGGGACCAAATAAGGATTTCACCCGAGCCTTCTCAAAAACTGAACTCTGATGTGACTGTCTACATTCTCAGACACTTGTGGTTTTCTGAAGCTGGTCTTAAGAGGTATTTCGTTACCATCCAGGTACCATCATCAGCCTTAAGCTATGTGTGTTCTCATTATTGCGTGCCTTTTGCAAGTTGCTCCTTTATTTCAGACACAATTCGGTGGCCTGGCAAGTCCCAGGAAGGAAGGAAAGCTAAGAAACGAAAACATGTTGATATCTCACCTTGCGCTCAATCCAAAACCCATGAAGTTTGAGCCATTAAAAGAAAAAAATCTTGTTGGAAAAAGAGCATAAAGCCACAAAACGGGCGCCCACTGTCCCTTGGGGGCACACGGGCAGTTGGTGACTCACCACACGCTTGTTCTGAAGGACTCTCGTCTCTGGGTCCGGCGTCACACGCAGTCCTCGGATGGCGTCCTCCGCCTTCACCCTGACGGTGATGTTTTGTGAGCTCACAGCGTTCTTGGCCCATAGCACAACAGTGCTCAGGTTGTGCCCAATGCCATCCAGCAGGACGACAGAGAACCAGGTGTCGTTGCTCTCTCTTGCGCACTCGGCCACCCATGGAGTGACCGCTGGGGGGCAACTCCGTCCAAAAGGGAAGCTCTGGTTGCCTCCCAGCCTGCCGGAGGTCGCGTTCATCCCAGAGAGGATTTTCACCACCAGCCACGTGCTGTTGCTTTCCACGTAGACCTTGCCACCTTTCTCCGGAGGGTAGATCACACGGAGGCTTGAGATGGCAGAAAGAGCCCAGAAGCTGCAGGAGAAGTTCCTCCTGAAGATGCCATTGCTGACCGTGGCCTGCACCGCATAAAGGCCGGGGCGGTGGACGCTGGAGTGGTTTTTCGGCAGGAGTGGGACGGTCTCTTCAGCAGCCGCCAGCACCCTGAGAGGGCACCTGGAATTGTTCCGCCAGGTTTGGGGAGTGGGGTGGGCAGGCCAGCCTGGGTCCCAACCCAAAGAGCTGAGGGTGAAGTAGCCCATCTGGGTCAGCGGCTTTTGGCTGGGATGATGGCAAAGGAGCAAAGCGCCAGGCCCAGCATCATGCTGGACAATCACTGTATCGTTGGGTTTGACCAAGGTGTCCTTGCTTCGGAAGAGCAACTGTGGAAGAGAAGCGTCAATGAATTGATTCTTTCCCACACAATGCACCCCAGCCCCCATTCACTAATTCTGAGCTAAGAGTTGGATAAAAGTGGGGGGGAAGGGAATGAAGTGGCTTGGTTGCAACTGCCCCCACCCCCAAGGCAGAAGCAGGCACTGGGGCACAAGAGGTGCAAATAGGCAGCTCAGAGATTTAAGAAATCTTTTTCTCGAAAAAGAAAAAGAAAAAAGAAAGCAACTCCAGAGAGCCACTTCATCATACAGGAAGTCTTCAGTTATGGACCTCTTCAGCAACTGTTTGAACTTAAGACAGTGCTGAAAAACATAATAATTTTATATTATTTACAACCAGTTATGACCTTAGGGTGCCGTGGTAGGATAGTGGTTAAAATGCAGTATTGCAGGGTAATTCTGCTGACTGCCAAGGATTCGGTCATCACCGGCTCAAGATCGACTCAGCCTTCCATCCTTCCGAGGTGGGTAAAATGAGGACCCAGATTGTTGGGGGCAAGAGGCTGACTCTGTAAACCGCTTAGAGGGGGCCATGACGCACTGTGTATATAAGTCTAAGTGCTATTGCTAGTGCCATTGCAGCATCCCTCAGTAATGCGATCGCCATTACGTTGTGTCTCTGGATTGATTGGAGAGAAAGGGATTGCAAAAGAGAAGCTGTTTGCTCTTCTACACGTTGAAATCAACGCGGTGATGCTGGCAGCCTGGGGCTGGGAGCCATGGGGCACACCTTATGAACAGTTTATAGTACTCTTTTGAAATCCGTCTCTCTCTCTCCCTCCAATCTCTCTGCTCTGCAGGAGAGTGAGGGACTGGGTGGGATGCAAGCATTTCCTTTATTTTTATTTATTTATTTATTTTTATTTATTTATTTGATTTGCCAATTGTTTACAAGATAATAAGTATATATAATAATAAGTATAATAAGTATAATATATAAGTATAATAATAAGTATTTAGGCAATCTCTCCTTTGCCCTGTTCTGAGGCTGCATTGTTCTTGATAGGTGTAAGAGCAGGCAGCTTAAGCTCTTGAAATCCCTTTCTCTCTGATCTCCCCCACCCCCAAAGAGATGGGAAAGGAAGAGATTTCAAGAGTGCTTCATTCTGGGGCCCCCAGCCCCACCAGTGATACAATCACATCAGCATTTCAAAAAGGGGAGAATGGTTAGGAGCCCAATTGAAGCCGAAAGTGTGAAACTGACTGGTGATTTCCCACTCAACCACGGCTACACTTAAGGTGGTCCCCGTGGTTGGGCTGTTAAGCAAGGACATTTCTTCCTCTCCTATAACACCAAATGGTGCCACCCAATGAAACCGATGGAAGGTTTGGGGCAGTTAAAAGCCCATATTTAAACTCTGGAATCATCTTAACAACCCCATAATCCCTTGCGGGGTGGAGTCTGGGCAACGGAACGGAGCTAGCAGAGTGTTTTAATGGCCGGATGCCCTCCCTGTCACCAGTGCAGCGTGTTTCTTTCAGCAGATATATCCGCAGTGTGCCCAAAGAGAGAAATACCTGCCTCTACCTAGGATCAAACTCATAGCCTCCTGATTGTGAGGCAAAGAGCTCCAACTCCAGGCCACCGCTCCACTCCATTTAAACTCTGGAACCCAGTGACCAAAATGCAACTTTAGATCAGATAATTTCAGAAGTGGGTTTAGATGCCATCACGGATGTTTGGGTACAGGGGGCCCCTAATTACGATGGCAATGCTGAAGGACAACATCAAAGGCATCATTCTTTCCATATCAAGGGTAGAAAAGGGGGTGGCATTAGGGGCTGGAGTGTTGCATTCACATCTTACTCAAGGGCTACTGCTTGGTTGCTGCTGAGCCGAAGTGGCTTTTGGTCACAGGGCCCTTCCAATGCTCTCTTCTGTCCTTTGAAGCCAAGATGACAAACTGAGCGTAATATATGCATCCTGAGTTTTATCCAGGCTATTCTTAGGGATTCTGAATAATCTTAACAACTAATCAGCAATGAAAAATTTCAGGAATGTAAAGCACATATCATGCTGTTTCTGAATAACCTCAGTCTTTGTCCCTGCGTTGGGCAATTCTACTGGCCTTTTATCTCAGTTCCAGACTGGCTTCACGTAGCTCAGTTATCTACAAAACAGACCTTGATCACACATCAATTCTGCCAAGAACTCCCCACTTACAAGGTACCGCATGGAGGGGCCCAGTGGCAGCATAAAATGTGACGTCTTCAGCTCCAGGCTCCAGGATTTATTTTGGCAGGGGGGAGGAACACCAGCAGCTGCCTGAGTTGTTGAGTTGGCACATGGCTCTTGGTGGCAGCAGCTCCCTAGTGGTTGGCATGAGTTGGCCGAGTGGCACCACTGGAAGCCAACCGGACAGTCCATTGGTGTCCAGTTCTCATTCTCTTGGGAAACAAGGAAGAGGTCAGTCACGTTCGTGACCTCGTTGCATCCTGAAGGAAAGGAAGAACAAAAGACACACTGGTTTTTGTACGAGCTTCTTCCAGAGTGGAGGGAAAGACACGCTTAATCTCAAGGGTGGGATTCAAATTTTTAACAACCGGTTCTGTGGGCGTGGCCTAGGTGGTGGGCATGGCTTGGTGGTCATGTGACTGGGTGGACATGGCTTGGTGGTCATGTTATTGGCTGGGTGTGGCCAACTCAATATCACTCACATCGAGGCACGCATCTCCTCGCCTGGCCTCTCATGACTGTGGGGATGCTGCAAGAGTCGTAAGTGTGAGAAATGGTCATAAGTCACTTTTTTCAGTGCCATTGTAACTTTGAAGGGTCACTCCACACAAGCAAAGTACCAGCAAAGGAGTGGGAAAAAAACTCCAGAGAAGTTCCAGAGACAGGAAGTCTAGTCCTGCCAAGAATATAATAAGGGTTAACGGGGAGGCAGTTTCTGTAAGCAACCCCAGAATGTTTCCTTCCTGCCTTCCTTACAGGATTAGCCCAGTAATTTCTTCTAACAACCGGTTCTCCGAACTGCTTAGAATGTTAACAACCGGTTCTAGTGAATAGGTACAAACTGGTAGAATCCCACCCCTGCTTAATCCCGGCCCCTAAAAACTCCTAGGAGAAAGTGTTACACTTATGTTTTACCAATAAAGAAATAAAGGGAGACTAGTATATATCTATTTCAAGCTATTGAGCTCTTATCAGCTAGCCAAACCCTTCTGGGATTCAAACCTGGGCTACTTACATATTAGGTAGATGTATTAACCTCTAAGCCAGTGGTGGCTAACCTTTTGGGGCTCTCGTGCCGATAATTGCACGTATGCTCGCTTGCGCGCGCTCATGTGCCAGCACCCAGAAGGCAATGCATGCTGCCCCCACCACACCCCCTGCGCATGCGCGTGTGACCCCTCCTCGTGCGCCACCCATCAGCACATGCACTCAATTCCCCCCTCATGCACCGTGCATCTTTGCGCATGCCTGCATGACTCCCTCCTCGCACGCCATGCATCTGTGCATGCGCATGCAATCCCCTCGCATGCAGTGCGTCCCTGCACACCCCCTCTGTCCTCTGCGCATGCGCGCCAGATACCCAACAATCAACTGTCGAGTGGCGGCGCGCACGTATGCACAGCAGGGCTCTTCCGGGCAACTTCTCGCATGCCGGGAGAAATGGCTCTGTGTGCCACTTCTGGCACGTGTGGCATAGGTTCGCCAACACGGCTCTACGCCATGGGCTCTTCCTTGATTTGTTGACTATACCAGGGGAGAGGTTAAGTGTTTTTTTCCGGTGATAGACTGGTCCCACCACAGAAAAAACAACCTCTCCCCTGGTATAGCCGACAAAGCGAGGACAACCCATGGCTATGGATTCATTGAACAACCGTGGCAAGAAAAGTCGTAAAAATGGGGCAAACCTCACTTAAGAAATGTCTCACTTAACAACAGAAATGTTGGGCTCAATTGTGGTCGTAAGTCGAGGACTCCCTGTATAAATCGCCGTGAAGGAATGCTCCAGAGAATCATGGCGCTGGAAGGGCCCTCAGAAGCCACCTCAATTTCCCCTGGAATCCCTCTGGAGTGAGTTCAGAGGAGAGGCGGAAGCAAAAGAGGACTCACTAGTTTCCCCAGAAGGTTTTCTTCCCCCGCCCCAAACACTTCACTTTAATTTTCTAATCCGTCTCTCACGTTTTTCTTAAGTTAACAGAGTTCCCCATCTCAGTGTGAAATCAAATTTCATACGTTACTGAAGTTAAACACACGACAGCTTCCATCTGCCTGGTTTAATGATAATTTAAAATGCCGTTAGCGCCCTGGGTCTTACTTTGCTATCTCGGTATTTTACAGAAATGTTCTTAGACTCAGCCATTCTAAGCTAGAAACAGTCATTCCGCTCTCTCCTACAACGTCTTTCTCTCCGGAAACACCCTGCAAGTGGAGTCAACCTGCTTTCTGTTTATTTTCAGCGTCTCTCTTTCTCCTTATGAAAATGAGGTTGCAAGAAAGACGAATAGTAACGGAGAGGGTTTTTAGATAGTTTGCATGCCACGTTCAAAGTGGGACTTTTGCATGTTGATCATTCTTTCTCAACTGCAGTTATATTGCCTGAAAAATTCACCCAGACTTTCAATAGTTTATGCTGATGAATACCATATAAAATGATTGCAACTGAAAAACAAATCAACAATCCAAAAAGGAAGAACAGCAAGGAAAGTGGAAAAAAAGGTAGAATAGATAACAAGCACTTCTCGGTCACAGAATCACAGGTAGGTACCTTTAGGTGACCCTCGGACCTCTGTAGTCCTCCAAGAAGCTCATCACCACTTCACTGGTCCCCGGTTCCACCACCTGACAGTTCATAGATCTTGTATCTTTCCTTGGAGCCCTCAGGACCAACAGAAAACAAGTCCACTCCCACTTCTAATTCTTCAGGTATTTGAGACTCCTACCCTACTTGTCCCAGTCAACCTTTCAGTAGGCTAAGTCCTCTGGCCCTTCCTCATGTGGCTGGGATTCCAGGTCCTTTACTGTCTTCACTCTCCCTTGGAACTCACTCCAGTTTGTCCCTGTTCTTTCTGAACTGCGGTGCCCTAAACTGATCATGGTGCCCCAAAAGATGGAACCATGACTTCCCACGATTTGGACTTCCTGCCCCTATTAATGCACCTCACAATAGCATTTGCCTTCTTAGCAGCTGCATCACACGGTCAAAGGCTGATGCCAAGAGCCTGTGGTCTGATATGGTCCCCAGAAGAGCAGCTACATCAAGATTTAATGCCACTGGAGGGGGGTGCTCAAGCTGGAGCGCCTGGCACCAGGAACATTCGCAACAGGTGCCCCTAAAGGATTCGGCAGGATAAGGAGAGCGAGAGGAATCTTCATATACCCAGAGGAGAGCGACATAAGGACAAAAGGCTGTTTTCCATGGCTCCAGAGGGCAGGGTAAGATCTCCTAGGCCTTAGGACAAATAAGCTTTAGTTGAAAGTAAGAACAGTTACTTAAGGGAACGTGGTAGCTGAGTGGCTAAGCTTGTTGATCAGGAAGGTCGGCAGTTCGGGGGTTCGAATCCCTAACGCCACATAACAGAGTGAGCTCCCGTTCCTTGTCCCAACTTCTGCCAACCTAGCAGTTCAAAAACATGTAAAAATGCAAGTAGAAAAATAGGGACTCCTTTGGTGGGAAGGGAGCAGCGTTCTGTGCAGCTTCGGCGTTTAGTCCTGCTGGCCGCATGACCACGGAGACGTCTTCAGACAGCACTGGCTCTTCTTCGGCTTTGTAATGGAAATGAGCACCGCCCCCTAGAGCCGGAAACGACTAGCACGTAGGTGCGAGGAGGGGAACCTTTACCTTTACTTAAGAACAGTTGGCCAATGACATGAGAGTCACCATCCTATCAACCTAACGTTCTCTCACCTTTTGGGTGGGCTGGACGGTGTACTTGAAACCGGATATGGGCCGGCTGCTGTAGCTTCTGGGTCACCAGTTCCAAGGCTACTAAAAAGCCCTCCTGTTGAAATGCCAAGCTGGGAAAGACCAGAGTCTGGAAAACAGAAGGGCCAAGATTTCAATGAGATCTCTCGTGAGCGATCTCGGCCAAAAAGGAGGCCACGAGAGATCCTCACCTCGACTGGCCCTGATGGGGCAAAAGTCTCTTCTTTTTCAGTCAGGCTTCTGGTGGCCACGTAGGTGTCGAACGCAAGAGATCCCAGTTGAAAGCGGTCAGCATTTAGAAGAATCTCTCCTGGAAGGAGCAAAGGGGAAAAACAGGGTGAAGGGGAGCAACGTGAAGTCTCTTTCTTCTTATTGGAAAGCGACGCTCTAAATCAGGAGTCCCCAAACTTGGCAACTTGCGAACTTCAACTCCCCTAATTCGTGTTTTGGTCTGTGACTGCAAATAAAGTATTATTATTATTATAATAACTCCCAGAATTCCCCAGCCAGCTGTGTCTGTTGCTTACCCGCCAAAGTGGAGAGGTTGCAGAGGAAGGGATCACAAGAGAGTAAGACATGCTGGCTGAGGAATTCTGGGAGTTGAAGTCCACAAGTCTTAAAGTTGCCAAGTTTGGGGGCCTCTGTTCTAAATAGAGGTCTCCCCAAATCCTGAAATCTGAGAATTTTGCTTTGTTTTGGGTTTTCTTCTCTGCTCCAAATAAAACTTTCACATAGGTGCTTGGGGAAGCAGCAGCGTAAAAGGGACACAGGCTTTCATCAGAAAGAGTATCTTGCTTCAAACAATTGGCTCGTTGGTTTTCCCCCCTCCCTCATTTTCTACCATATTTTTTTTTCCTTTTTTTTGTTTCATTACATAATGCCACCCACCCACCTTCTGTCCCAGCCACGAAAGAGATCAAACCTGCTCCGCTTTCTCTTATGTCAGGCATACGGTCAATCTATGAGGCAGCCTGTGTCCTTTTTATCACTTGGGCAAGGCTAATGTCATTTGTGGGTCTCTTTAATGGATGGGGTTGGAATAAAAACCAGGGCTCTTTAGGCTGCTTTCCCTGGAACTTCAACCACGTGGAATTCTGGGAGCTGAACTCCACCAGTCTTAAAAGTTGCCAAGTTTGGAGGAGCCTGGAATAAACGGACGAAATGGATGCTTAATGCTAGCAGAGGCTTTCGGCACCCATTTCATCGCCCTCAAACCACTAGGAACAATTTTCCACGGGGAATGAAATATACATGCATCATTTCGTCCTTTGAAACCTTTAACCTCCCCACAGTCCAAGACTTGGTGGAACTCATCTCGTGGTGTCCCTGGCCATGTCCAGAGGGCCAAAACAGCCCCAACCAGGAGAAACTCGCTCCTCCCTACTCTAAAGGCAAGGGAGTTTCTCTCTAGGGAAGCCTGCAGAGTCAGAGGGCATGAAAGGACACGCCAAAGCCCTGGATTTCTCCTCGGATCCCACTGAACCAGGAAGGCTGGTGCATCGCCCCTGGGGAATGAGACAACTTGCCACAGCCAACTTGCTGCAGTGTCAACTCACTACGGCCAACTCACTGTGGGAACAATTTAACAATTCTATTTAATTATTTAAAATAAATAAAAATTATTTTAATTTTTGCCATTCACATTTCATTCTGTCCTTCCTTTTGCATCCTTTCTTTAATTATTCCATTCCACCATTTCTTTAGTATTATTGTAACACTTGTCCTGCAGCGAGTTGGCCTCGGCAAGTGGCTAGGGTGAACTGTTATAGACCAGAGCACAGCTGGCTGGAGAATTCTGGGAATAGAAGTCCACAAGTCTTAAAATTGCCAAGTGTGGGGCCCCCTGGTAGAGACCCTCGCTCCTGGCTTAGCTCTTTGGAGACAAGATGCTGTGCAGCTCAGTGGTGCCCAAGGACCCCGGAATAAAACCCACCTTGTGGCTTGTGCTCGCACACGTAGCTGTGCTTGGCCGTACACAGATCGGTGTTGCACTGCCCGGCAGGACTCATCCGGACACAGTGGTCAGCATTGGAGGGATGGGGCTCACCCGGAAGCCAGTTCTGGCAGCTCTGTACATCAAAGCCCTCCTCGCCTTGCGGCAAAGGGCTGGGGCTGGCCACGTCGTTAAACCCGATCCAGACATCCAGGCTCCTTTGGGGAGAGAAAGCCCAGGATGGATCAGAGAGACATCAGCATGACATGACCTGCCTGGGACAGCCTGGCTGACCGTCTGTTCCAGAAGAGCCTTCAGGAACCTCTGCCAGGAGATGGAAGCAGCTGGTCTTCTCCAGGAGGAGGAAGTGACCGTCCCTTTCTCAGAATGAAACAGGTTGTCAGGGTTGCCCTAATTAATTGCCCTAATTAAATCATGAGCCTCGAACCAAGCTTCAAAAGAATCCAAAATATTTATTAGGAGCAACATGTCAGGCATTAACCTAAATGAAGCCAACTCTGGAATACATAATTTACAGTCACCTGTGATCTTGTTTTTCCCCTCCCCCCTGGAAGTGTCATTAATCACATTCTCCAATGAAGGATTTTCACGGGCAGAAGATTCGGTAGCTTAACTACAATCTTTCTAAGATAAGTGTGGAATGTCCTTCTCTTTTTAAACTGCCGCACTGCTCCTCCAGATTTCTCCCCCCCCCCCTTGTTTATGGCAACTCTAAAACAGGCATAGGAATGCTTTACGAGTTGACACACGTAACCGGTGTCTGAAAGTATGCAGGTTGAGCGTATGCAGCACAAAGAGAAGCAAAGGCTTGGGTTGGTTCAGGGGTGCTCGCAGGGAGGCAGGGTCAAAAAAGGCAAGAAGGCAGCTAGGGCTACAACAGGGTGTGTGTGTGTGTGTGTCCAAACTTGGCAACTTTTAAGACTTCTGGACTTCAACTCCCAAAATTCCCCAGCCAGCTCTGCTGTCAAGTCTTAAAAGTTGCCAAGTTTGGACACTCCTGAACTACAGGATCAAAATCAGGGGTGGTATTCTACCGGTTTGGCCTGGTTCGGCTGAACCGGTAGCTCTGAGGATAATCTGTGAGCAAACAGGAGAAGGTCAGTATCAAACCCCCTGTGAGCACGCAAAGTGAGCGTTTGGTGTGCATGTGCGCACAAAACACGCCCACCAATCCACACCCACAGAACCAGTGGTAAAAAAAGCTGAATCCCACCGTTGATCACATGAAAAAACGCAGAGCTGTAAGAAACGTCCTGAGATAGTTAAGAGAAGGATTGAGTCAAGGATTGTAGGGGTCCTTGAGCCAAGACAAATGCTTTAATTAAAGCAGATCGTTTTTGTGGATCATTCATTTATTTGACTTCTCTCTGCCTTCTTGTACAGGAGTTCTAGGCGGCATGCATAGAATTTCTCTCCCACAATGACCCAGTAAGGTAAACTGGGTGACCAGCAAGAAGAACCTGATCTCCCAGCTTCTAATCCAGCACCTTCCCCATGACCCCACCCTGGTTCTTGACAATGGTTGGGTTCACACATCTGACTAACCATTTCCCAGTCAATCCACTGAAAATTACAACTTCTGTAACAACTCCAAGAGACCACACCAAAGGTTTAGGTCTATTGGGATCCTTCAGCTTTAGGCCAGCTGTCCCTCCTGGCTTCACTGTGGTGGCGCAGAGGCAGGAATGCAGCATTGCAGGCAAACTCTGCCCACAATCTGGAGTTCGATCCTGACTGGCTTGAGGCTGTCTCAGCCTTCCATCCTTCTCAGGTCAATAAAATGAGGATCCAGATTGCTGGAAGCAAGGTGCTGACTCTGTGAACTGCTCAAAGAGGGCTATAAAATGCTATGGGGCAGTATATAGTTCTATTGATATTGCTACTCAGTGTCCAGCCCCAACTTTTGGGGAAACTCCCAATAAATGTACCAACTTGTCCCTCCTTCCTTGCAAGGAAGCTTTTGTTTGAAGCAGCCTGCCTAAGCAGGAGGTTCTGTGTGTCCTGGCAACGTCCAAAGCAGGCTGCAGGGAGGGATGGCGGGGGGGTGGATGGGAGGTGCCTTTCCAGGAATTTTAATTAATTCCCAGCAGAGTTGCAGCTTATACTGGGCACTGGACCCCTCTGGGCTCAACCTGGCCCATTGTCAAATAGCCACACCTGCATTCAGTTTTGTCTTTTTTTTTTGGTCTCTCTTCCCCGTGATCCTGTTTGGGCTTTGCAAGCATCCCCAGGAACCCTCTTCCAAGCCCTCCAACATCTCCGCTGCCCAAAGGCCACCTTTCCTTGACAATGGCACCCCATGCTTGGAATTCCTTTCCCAGGGAAACCAGCCTGGCATCTGGCCACAGGTCCTTTCTGGGCGACAGTGATATTCTTTCCTCTGACAACGCTTATTGCAAACTATCAAGTAAGACAGACAGATTAACAGAGTTGGAGGGGACCTCATAGTTCATCTAGACCAACCCACCGCCCAAGCAGGAGATCCTACACCATTTCTGACAGATGGCAGTTTCTTATTGAAAGCCTGTAGTGATGAAGCTCCCACAACTTCCAAAGGCAACTTCTGTTCGGTTGATTGTTCTCACTGTCAGAAAGTTTCTCCTTATTTACAGGTTGAATCTCTCCTTCATCAGTTCCCATCCATTATTCCTTCTCTGGCCTTCGGGTGCCTTGGAAAATAGCTTGACCCCTTCCTCCTCTCTGGGGCAGCCCCTCAAATATTGGAAGGCTGCTCTCCTGTCTCTCCTGATCCTTCTCTTCCCTTGACCAGCCATGCCCAGTTCCTGTAACCATATGTTTTAGCCTCCAGTCCCCTAATTATCTTGGTTGCTCTTCTCTGCACTCTTTCTCAACCTATTTTTTATGACCAAAACTGGATGCGGTACTCTAGATGTGGCCTTACTAGGGCTTTATAGAGTGGTATTAGTACCTCCCTTGATCTTGATTGTATCCCTCTGTTAATGCAACTTAGGATTGCATTGGCTTTTTTGGCTGCTGCTGCACACTGCTGGCTCATATTTAGCTGGTTGTGCACTAAGACTCCAAGATCCCCCTCACAGTTACTAAGCCTGGTTTCACCCAGTTCTATATGTGTCCTTTGTGTTTTTCTTGCCTAAGTGTAAGACTTAGGGGGAGGGGCTTTAAAAGAACTAAGCCACCCAAGCCCCCAATCATCAGGGGGCAGAAGGGAGAGGTGGAAAGGCCTGGAAACCACCAGCTCAGCCCTGCCCACCGTCATGAAGATGTCACCCCCACTCTGCACATCTCCTTCCCAACTTACAGATGCAAGAACTTGCTGTTTGGAGGGAGAGGAAGAACAGCCCCTCCCTGGGAAACCAGACTTCAAAGCCCAGCATTTTCTCAAGCACTCTGAGCACATCTGGTTGAAATAATGTTCCTCCCCATATGAAGACATTTATCCCTCTCTGGGATCTTTTAAGAATGACACTCAGGCCCTCTGCTAAAGGGCTGTTGCATAATGTTCTCAAAGCAGCCTCTCAAAACACCAGGGCAGCCCAACCTGGCAGGCTGCTGGGCACCATGTTGGGGACCCTCTTGCAAAACCTAACCCTAACCCTAACCTCCCCCCCACCTTCGAGCCCCCTTCTGACTCACCCATCACAAGAGTGGGCTTCATTCTGTTTTCCTCTCCCCTGAAACCAGCAGCCTCCCCCGAAACGTACAAAAATACTCCCCCTCTACACTCCACCCCTTAACCAAAGTAGACATTTCCTGCCCAATCAGACACCGGTGCACACTTTGTGTCATTGTCCCTTTTGCTCTGTGTCTTTCCTGCCGGGATTTAGTACATTCAATGTAGAGAAAGGTAAAGTCCTACACTTAGGCAAGAGAAACCAAAAGGACACGTATAGACTGGGTGAAACCAGGCTCAATAGCAGTCACTGTGAGAGGGATCTTGGAGTCTTAGTGGACAACCAGCTAAATAGGAGCCAGCCGTGTGCAGCAGCAGCCAAAATCCTAAGTTGCATTAACAGAGGGATACAATCGAGATCAAGGGAGGTACTAATACCACTCTATAAAGCTTAGTAAGGCTTAGTAAGACCACACCTGGAATTCTGCATCCAGTTTTGGTCACCACACTATAAAAAAGATGTTGAGGCTCTAGAAAGAGTGCAGAGAAGAGCAACCAGGATGATGAGGGGACTGGAGGCTAAAACATACGATGGACGGTTGCAGGAACTGGGCCTGGCTAGTCTAGTAAAGAGAAGGACCAGGGGAGACAGGA